AAAAATCGATTGGTGGTTTAAAAAACTGAGGGTTTTAGGAAAATTTCAAAAGCATTTTTCATAGGTTTAAAATTTTTTTATTGGAAACAATAGGGGAAAAAAAAAAAAAAGATATTACAACAAATTTTTAAAAGAAACTTTTTGGGTTAGGGGAAAAAAGAAATAAGATATAAAAAATGAAAAAGGGAAAAGACCCAATTTTAATCCCAGTGAGAGGGTGATACCCCGGGGCCCCTCGGGAAACATATTGATATGAAGAAACCGGGAGAAAATAAATTTTAAAAGGGAAAAGATAAACAAAAGGAAAAAGGGAAAAAGGGGAACATGGGAAAAAAGGTTTTGGGGGTTTTCAGGGGGCATAAAAGGAAAGAAAAAAATGGATGGGAAAATTTGGGGGGCCATGGTTTAAAATGAAAAAGGGGCTTTTTCTAAAAAAAAGTTTTAGCTGCCCAAAATCTTTAAAATTTAAAAATTTAAAAACCTAAAAAGAAAAATGGGAAAAAGATATTTTTCATTTTTTTAAAAATGAAAATGGGGGGAAAAGGGGTGTAATGAAACTCGTTTAAAAGCAAAGGTGGAGAAATACACTTGAAAAGGAAACCAAAATTTGAAAATTTGAACCTACTCCCCCTTTAAAAATTAAGAGAGGTATTTTTGTTGAAACAATATTTTTTTAAATTTTGGACTAGGGGAGCAGAAAGTATTATAAAGGGAAAAAAAAAAAATATAGGGGGTAAAAGAATAGATGAGAAAAAACAGAAACTGGGAATAAAGCCTTTAAATTTTTAAAACAATTTAAAACCAATTTTTTTCTCTTATTAAAAAATGGTTTTAAATTTTTGAAAGAAAAAATTTTTTGGGGGGTGTGAATAAAAAATTTGTGGGGTTTTTGGGGTAAAGTGGGTGGAAATTTTGGTGTTGTTTTTGAAATTTAAATTTAAAAGGAAAAGTTTTCCCTTAAATGAAAAAGTGATTTTGAAAAATTTAAAAGTGTTGTTAGCAAATTTTAAAAAATTTTGTGCCTTCTTTTTTAGATTCAAGAAAAAAAGCCCAAGAAGAAAAACAGGGGCCCGCTAACGTATGAGTGTCAAGCTTTTTTTAAACTCCCCAAAAATGGAATTTTAAATTTTTGCGTTTTCTTGACTTCGAAACCCCCCTTTTCCCGTTATTTTAAATTCTGACCTTTCTTTTATTAAAAGATAAGTAAACATTGTAAAAAAAAAATATTTTTGGAAATCGAGAGTATTTAGGGAAATTTTTTGAAAAAGCCTAAAATTGGTTTTATTTGTGCAAAAAAAAGGGCAGTGTGATTTTTTGAGGTTTTTTAATGCAGGTTAAAAATTCCCCTGAATTTTTAAAAGAAATCAAATAAAAATAAATTACCCAGAGGGAAAAAAGGGGAAATTTTTTTTAAAAAACCTTTATTTTAAAATTTTTAAAAAGGAAAAAAGCATTTTACTTTGAAAAAAGAATGCCAAACGCATTGTTTTTAAAAAAAATTAGCATCATTTAAAAAATTTTTTATGCCTTATAAAAAGCAGGCGAACCCGTACTTTGGGTGAAGAAGGGGGATTCGGGGTAATTTCCCTTTCTTTTCTTTGGGTGATACATTGAAAATATTTCCCAAAGGGTGAAAAAAATCAAAAAATCATTATATTTGGGGAAAAGGGGTTCTTCAAAAAAGGGGAATTGGTAATTTTCAAAATTTTTTGGCTTTTGATCTTGACCCTTTAAAAAACCAAAAAAATCCCGAAAAAGGCCCTATCAAATGGAAAGGGGGGAAACAGTAAAAGCGAGTTGGGGAAGGGAAAAAAAAGAAAAAATTTTAAAGGCCACAAAATGGTTTTAAATTCATAAAGGGGGGCCCGTTTTCCCCAACCTATATCGTTTTAAAAAATTGGGTTTTAAAATTTTTTTAAAAAAACCCCTGGGTTTGGGCTCTTTTTTTAAAAGACGGGATAGGGGTTTGGGCCCGTGGGTTGTGAAATTAAAAAGTTTTCATAAGAAGAATTGGGGTTGTTAAAGTTTTTAATAATTGAATTTTTAAGAATTTTTAAGGGAATTTTCCAAGAAATTAGAAAATTTTATGTTAAATACGAGATTATAAAAATTACGGTGGGGCCTTTTAAGATGAAAGAAGTTGATTTTGGCCTTTTAAAATGTTTCCAATGATTATTTGGGTTTTTTTTGCCCCTTTAAACTTTATTTTTTAAAAAAAAGAAAACGAATTTTTACAGGGGTTTTGGGTTTGGGGCCCTTTGTTTTAATAATTAATTTTTTTCTTTAAGTTTAATTTTTGAAAATGCCCTTTTTTTGAAATAAAAATAAAATTATAAAAAGTTGAAATTTTAAAAACTGGAAAATTTATGTTTTTATCTAATGAAGTTTTAATTTTTTGTTTTTTTTTTTTCAATTTAATTTTTAAGTTTTTTTAAAATTTTAGTGATGGGGTGCGTGTTCGTTGTGGGTGTTGGGGCGTGCGAGTGTGGTGCGTGTGTGCGTGGGGGGGGTTGCTTGGGTGGTTTTGTGGTGTGGTTTTGGTGTTGTGAAGGGTAAAAAACTGAGGAAATTTTATGTTTTAATTTTAAATTGTTATTAAAAGTTAAGTTTTAACCCAAAAATGTTTATTTTTTAAATTTAAAAATTTAATATTCAAAGGGGTTTTAAATTTTTAAAAAAAAACATTTCCAAAGAAAATAAATTAATTGTTTTCCTTTCCCAAAAAAATTTATTTTTGGTTTTCCCCCAAATTTAAAATGTCTATATGCATTTTTTAAGGGAAAATTTTGGGCCCCTTTTATGTAAAACTGAAAAAAACCAAAAAAAAATTTATATAAAAGGGACTATTTTTGTTTCCAAAAGACAGGAATTGTTTCCACAGAAGGTTCTTTTAGAAAGAAAGAAATCAAAAAAATGTTCCTCCTGAAAAGTAGCAAAAACTGTTATACGAGATTTTGACCCCCCAACGACGGTATGCCAAAAACAAAAAGAAATACTGCATGTATTTTACGTAAATAGTTACAAAATTGCACATACATATATTGTGATGTAAAAACTTTAAAAATTAATATTTACAGGCTGCTGAGTTGGAAATCTTTAAAAGGACAATTAACTTGTACAATAAATGTGTTTAGATTTTTCTAGCTATATTAAGATGGAAAAATATGCACGTTTTCTATTATTATATTTTTTTTTACATATATTCATTGCCTAATTAATGCTAAAAAAAATCTAAGAGCAAATTACAATTATAACATTTTCAATGCTTTATATATTACAAACTAGCCGGTAAAAGCCGTCCATATTTCACAGAATGAATCAATATACTTCTAGAAAGATTTTAGCAAACTTTGATACAAGCCCTTTAACTAAATGCAATTTTAGTGATTTTTTAAATTTAGAATGATATGATAAAAAATGTTCAAATTGGTGGGGTAGAGAAACATTTCCATGCATATTTCTATCGTGTCGAGAATAGTCATGCATTTAACATGTTATTATTTGCATCTAAAAAAAACAACACTTACAAAACATGTTTAAATGAGATTACACGGATATTTTTTTAGACTTTCAATAAATGTATTTCTTTTAAAAAGCCTTTTAAATGTACATGTATATGTTCTGAGTCATAATAATGCCTACAACTCCAAATCCGTACGGTAAATTTTGCTTAAATTTTGCATACAGGTGTCCTTTAGGTATACCACTAAACAATGTTGTCAATTTTACAATGCCTTATAGTGCAAATTATAGTGGTTATAACTTAAATGATAATTTACAAATATATTGTAATTTGCTCAATATTTACAAACCAATATCTTAAAATAACCATATAATGAAGTGAAATCGTAGACTATCGTCTTTATGATTTTAAAACATCATTTTTTGAAACTTAACCTATAGTAACCTAGTATATATCAATAACACGAAATAAAATCAGTATTAGTCGTTTCAAAGGGTATTTATATTAAATCTATTCTCAAAATTAAATCTTTCAACTCGGTACACAGTTGTAGTGCTGAATCAGCGTCCAATGGCATCTGTAGATCTGGCTTCAGAAGGGGTGCTAATTCTATAAATTCCTCACATTGTCTTCTTGGGCGTGAAAACAAATATTTGCAAATATATACGTCTCTCAAGTTAACTGCATTCCCGAAGTCGTGAGTTTCATACAGACCTGGTACAAAAAACAGTGTGTCAGGTTTACCACAAATAACAGAAGAACTTTTTTGATGCCTTATTTCATGTGTAATCCGGTCTAACTCGGTTTGTATGAGGTCCATGAAGCAAAATTTTAAGTTCTCACATTGTATCGGATCCAGATCATTAAATACACAAGTATCGCGTAAGTCCAAAAAATCCACCAATGGATTCCATTTTTTCTCGTAATGTACACCACCACTTCTCAATGCGTTGGTTAGATGTGCTTTTTCCAGCTACAAGGCTTCGAGTACCAACTATCGGATCTGTAGAATCGTGTCTGAAGTATTTCTACAATAGTAAAGCAATGCAGTTTTCCGTACCGACATGACAACCTAGTAATTGGGTGAGGGGGACTTGATAATGTTCATTAAAGGTGTCTAAAAGAATCTTGCAATAAGGTGTGGGTCGTTATTTGAGTCCAAAACCTCTAACCATGTTATTTTTCTACTATACCCATTCACAGCACCATGGATATAAAATCCTTATGAAACCGTCCATATGTCATGGCGTAGTATACGCGTCGGCATAAGCGATGAGCTTTCCGCATCTCAATACCATCCGGATCAAGCGCTCTCATTATTTCCATTGACGTACATGTGGTAATTCAGCATTAACCTAAGCCATATTGTACGAAATTCTATGCGTTGTCCATTTGTTTGTATTTCTCTGTTTATAACTCAAAAGGAGTATATATTCCATTACGCCGTTTTAAATTTAAGCGTTTAAAAAGTCTATTCACTGTACTAAATGACGTCGTTATGCCATGCTGTACCAGAAAGTACTCTATTATCAGCAGAGTTTTGTTTGTTATAGATGTTGAGGGTAGGTATCTTGGCACGGTAGCTTTGGTAATGCTGAACAGTATAATGATGAAGACACAGATCAACATCAAGGTTTTCATCCTCGTTACCTTTTGTCCAGTAGTTGTGTCTGAAATAAGAGTTTATCTTTTATCTAAATCTTTATACATTCATATTATATAAAATGGGTAAATCTCTTAGCTCCGTTTTTTAAAGATTGATAGGTGCGAAAAAATATTTTAAATGCTAGTAGGATATTTTGTTCTAACTGGTTCTATATCTACGTTTATTCTTAAGTGTTCTTTTCTCAATTGTTAAAATATACAACAAAATTAGACATTGATGCTAAATGCAAATGGTGCTCGATTACAATTTTAAGTTAACTTTGTATAGTGTGTATGAACATAGCACTTGCCGTTCTTTACTTATTCCATGTTAGCTCAATAAAATGCTGAAATGCGATACATGTTTAATACTGTGCACCATGCCATTTTAAGACGTAAAACTTGTATTCCCTGTCTACTTGTAAAACAGTTATTTGTTTGTTACTCATGGACAGATTTTGTGATGAGGACAAAAAATGTATAAGCACTAATATAATGAACATATTTAGAACATAGAAGATTGTACAAAACACACAGTCACACTTGTGGAATTAAAGTCTGTGATATGTTACCACTATGGGATTATATCAAATAATATTAAATTCCCTCCTTAACACATCCTCTCCTCCATGACAAATCTGCATGAAATTATTTAAAACGTTTAAAAACATACCTGAAACCAAAGTTGCTGCTTTCAGCTTCTAGGGCACGTGTAAAATGGGTTAGCCAAAAGTCATAAGACGTAAGTCACAAATCAAAAGTCAAAAGTCGAAAGTCAAAAGTAAAATATCCGTAAGTCGAAACTCAAAAGTGACCCTCCAAGGCTTCCATACAAATCAGATAACTGTGTGTTTCGATGTTTATTCTGTCACTTTGTGTTTGTAACCACCAAATGTTTAATGTTGTTTTGGTTAAAAATGTCAATATACAACAGTAGCATTTATAGTATCCATTGCTGAATCTTTTCTCCCTTATAAGTTCTGAAAAGTCAAAAACACAACCTGTCATAATTGCAATAATTAACTTTTGATATAAAAAATGGATGGATTGATGGGTGGATTCGTGCGACCATACGTATGCAGTAAGGCCTGTAAACACACACACGCACGCACGCACGCACGCACGCACACACACACACACACACACACACACACACACACAAAACAATCATAAAGATAAGCATATGTACGCAATAATATATACGCGCGCATATAAACCTACAGACAATCAAGCCATCATTAAACGTTCACTTTTGATTTGTTTTCCTTAGTTTGGAATTTGAAACAGTTCATTTGGAGTTTAAGGGATACAAGTATCAAATACACCAAAAAAATCTGTCAACAGTATAGAGCTGGTAAAGCTACAGTCTCACTTACATCCCGGCAGAGCCCCGGCAGAGCCCCGGTAGACGTCCGGGGTGATCCGGGAACGACCGGGGTACGACCGGTACCAACCGGGGTACATCCGTAACTCTGCCGGCAACGTCCTGGATGATCCGGGATGATCCGGGAACATCCGGCATTCGACCCCGGATGGAATAAAATATTTAATATCACCGGGGTGGTCCGGGATGATCCGGGAAGGTATAGCTTTGCCGGCATCATCCTTAGCTCTGCCGGGAACGGCCGGGGTGATACCGGGAAAGCACCGTAGCTCTGCCGGCACAAACCGGGGATGATCCGGGGTATGATATAGCCGGTAGAGCTACGGTAGAGCTACGGTAGAGCCCCGGTATATGCCGGCAGAGCCCCGGTAACTACAGGCAGAGCCCCGGAGGATAAAGGTAGAGCTACGGTTGATCCCGGTAGAGCCCCGGTAGAGCCCCGGCAAAGCCCGGATCATTTAAAAAAAAAATAAGGACAATTTGTGATGATTGAACTTGTTTGTATTAAAAGCCTTCCCGTTTCCCTTCTATCCAGTATGGCATAAGGATTTTCCAGAAAATCATCATGAATTACTATTCTGGAACAATAGATATTATATTAAATAAAAATTATGTATCAAAGTTATCATTTTCGGGCGTTTTCAATCCACCGGGGTTCTACCGGGGCTCTGCCTGGATCGTCCTGGGCTCTGCCGGGGCTCTGCCTGGATCGACCGGGGCTCTGCCTGGGTCAACCGGGGCTCTTCCGGCGTCATCCGGGAACGACCGGGGAAGCACCGGCATGAACCGTAGCTTCACCTGGGCTCTGCCTGGATGATCCGGAGCGCATCCTGGGTGGTAAGTAAGGGAACTACCGTAGTGCTGCCGGGGTAAGTGTGACCGCAACAATAATTTCATCCCGGATCGTCCCGGATCATCCCGGTAACTTACCGGGATGGTCCTGGGCTCTGCCGGGAGTAAGTGAGACCGAGGCTTAAGAGGTTCATGCTAGCCTGGCAGGTTACAAGTTAACGTCTATATGAAGGCATTTTAAATGAATATTTTTGGTAAGAATATGAAGTATATTGAAAATTTCATTTGCATACCGTGACAGGAAAAAGGAGTTAATGATCAAATTTGCAAATATTGCTATTTCAGGAAACCTTACAATCAGACATATGCCATCCATATGGAAATGACAAAACAAATTAGCGAGAGAGTAGATCGAGGCAAGTTTTATCAGATAATACAAAACTGGCGGCTGCGTGGCGGACTTAAATTGATAAACCCCTTTCATGTGCGTGTGTCACGAATAGCATGATAATATACAATATTCAATTTAGTATTGCAATAAAAAGACCATATCTGATCTTATAGGATTTCTGTTCATTTGCACTGAAAGATATTTTTGTTTGAGCATTGATACTTCGTAAGAAAAATCCATATGATATAAAATAGCAGACCAACAATTTTCGTTTTACTAACACAAAATATGTCAGATGCCGCCGAAACAGGAAAGATGATTTTGACTAACCCCATGTGCTACAACGTCTTAAGAAACATTTTTAAATGTTTTGTTTTGGGTCGTTAGTGATGTTGTATCACACAGGTTTTAAATCTTTTGCCCGTTCACAATTTAATGTATTAAAATATGTACCATCGATGCCAATATGCGTGTTTAATTGTAATAAATATTGATAGTTCGTTCTTTAAGATATTATACTTGGTATATTGATTATCTGTTACACATTACTTATTATTCATATTTTATTACTTGATTCCATTTACAGACGTTGTTTTCATTTTTAAACTGTACGCTCGCTTTCAAATGTTGTATTCGTAAGGTTTAGAAATCTGGAAAAATGGTGATCCTTCGGAAGCATTAATCACAACAAAAGTACATGAAAATTGCAGACTCAGTTTGAGTTTGTACATAAATAAGCGCAACAGTTTTTCTTAAACTGGTTCACTTACCTACTAAATCATCAGAATTGTCGCCGTACATCTTGTAATTATTTTGAACAGTTTCTTCCGGTTTTGTTTTCGCTGACAGATCAAAGTGGTACGTCAATGAGGATAATAGTTAATCTTTCCCCATTTCATAGAGAAATTTCTGGTAATGTTATTAGTCAGTCAAAATTTACATTTTGGGCATGTGACTGAAGTTTAAATATTGTACAACAAAACTGTAAAAAGTCTCCCCGTAATCAAAGGTGTCATATTTTCGATTTTTGACGACATTATTGTTGTGAGTGCCTGTTTTTGGTACTTTTACGATCCCCTTTTAAAATTTTCGCCTTTTGTTTTCTTGTTTAGGGCGCACGCATTTTTTTTGCTTCGATGGACTATATGCCGCTTTTCAAGCGCTTAATGTCGCACTTGTCGCTAAATGTCGCATCATTGCTGTTAAATGCTAAATCAATGTACCGTTAAATGTCGCAACTGTAATGTTAAATGTCGCGCGAATTTCCCTTACCGTTAAATGTTGCAACACCTCCGTTAAATGTCGCAATATCTAAATTTATGTACAAAAACTGATATCATGAAAAAGGCAAAGCGTCAAAGCGAGCTCGATTTACTTTTACCGTTAAATTGTATAAAATAATCATTTCATTTTTATTTTACATTTTCCGTTTTAAAACTGTCATTCGGTTTTTTAAACACTGCTTCCATTTATTCTGGTTCCCTGTTCTATTATAGTTCTTATAAAAGTGCGCAGGACACCAGTCTACGCATCCGTTTTCAATCAGAATACCTCGGCTTTTATCGTTATCTGGTAATTCGAAAAGTTGCGATGTGTCAATTCAGTAATTCAAACCATCACTATCTAGCAGGTACTTGCGTCACCGTAAAGCTCGCTTTGCGAGCCGGCTCTTAGGGCCAGCTCTTTGGGCTCGCTAATATGAAAAAGGCAAAGCCTCAAAGCGAGCTCGATTTTCTTTTACCGTAAGATAGTTTTAAATTAATCGTTCATTTTTATTTTTCATTTTCCGTTTTAAAATTGTCATTCGGTATTTTATACACTGCTTCCGTTTATTCTGGTTCTCCCTTTCTATTATGGTTCCTTTATGAGTACGCAGGACACCAGTCTATGCTTCCGTTTTCAATCAGAGTACATCGGTTTGAAATATTCATTGCTAATGAATAGTACAGACAAAAACGAGCTTGTTAAACTTGCTGTTTATTGCAGGAAAGTAATGCATGTTTTCAAATGATAAACGAGGTTGTGTAATATATGTATACATTTTGATAGTAAATAGTATTGTGTAGTATAATATTATGTTTCTTAAGGCTAACATGTATTTTTATCACCTATGTGTTAGGAATGGCTCAGTGTCTGATATTGCTCAAATTTTGTCTGATATTGCTCAAATTTAGTCTGATATGATAATTTTCTGTTTATCTAGTCATAGCAAATTTGTATCAGGTCATTTGTTCATGTTATATAGCAAATTTTCCTATGTGTTAGAAATGGCTCAGTGTCTGATATTGCTCAAATTTTGTCTGATATTTCTCAAATTTAGTCTGATATGATAATTTTCTGTTTATCTAGTCATAGCAAATTTGTATCATGCCATTGTTCATGTTATATAGCAAATTTGTATTACGTCATTTGTTCATGTTTAATATGTTGTATTCTGATGCCTCTCAGAGGCCTAGAATTTGAAAATAAAAGTTCAAAGTTCTTTTATCATTATCTTGTAATTCGAAAAGTTGCGATGTGTCCAATTCGGTACTTCGGACGAAAGTTTTCAAAACCATCACTTAGCAGGTACTCGCGTTACCGTAAAGCTCGCTTTGCGAGCAGGCCCTTCGGGCCAGCTCGTCGAGCTCGCTGTGAAAGTTATTTAAGTGAACTGGGTCCCAACTATCTCAGCTATGAAAGTATTTGCTGTGATGTCTAAAATATTAATTAAAGGTAGTCAATTTTGCGAAATTTAACGCCGATTGCGACATTTAGCGGCAAAGGTGCGACATTTTGCGGCAAGTGCGACATTTTGATGCGACATATAACAGGGCTACCACGGGCTCAAACCGAGCCTGCAACATTTTCAATTTTGTCGTTTTGGGCGTTCTTTAGGGAATCCGTTTTTATCTTTTCGGTTTGTACAATGTTGTACATTATACATGAGATCAGAAAGCGAATGAATTTTCAATGTAGTTATCGTTAGGGCGTCCACTCGTGTACAGGAATATTTATTCTTGCATATCAGACTGGCGTTTCCGTAAGTTTTACCGAATCGTTTCCGTAAGTTTTACCGAATCTGGCAAGGGGGTGCCAGATGAGTCGCGTGCTTTACCCGTGGCATGCTTGGGATGACGTAATATTGCCGTTATAAATGAAGTTAAAAATTTCACACGCTGTTGCAAGAAAACAGTTACGGGTGTAATGACGTTAATTTCCATGGAAAATTGTTTTATTAAGGTAAAGAATTTAAAATATGAATGGATATGGTACAATAGACTAGAGTTAGCAATGAAATATTGTTATCAAACTTGGTATATAGCAAGCTTATATGAAGACCCATGCAGATTAGGATTACGTTTGGAAACCCTCGGATCAAGTTCAAGGTCTAAGTTACAAATACAGAAAAAATGTTTTCGGACAATAACTAGAGTAAGCAATGAGATCTTGTATATAACAAGCTTATATGAAGACACAGGTTGGGACTTCTTTTGGACCCCCTGAGATCAAGATCGATGGCACTGTAACTAAAAATAGAAAAATGGTTTCCGGACAATAACTAGAGGTAGGATTAGCTGTTGATACAGCAGCAAGACCCCAGTTGGAATTGTTTTGGACCCCCTGGTGTCAAGGTCAAGGTCACTGTTGCTAAAAATAGAAAAATGATTTCTGGAAGATAGGCTTTTAATTGTAATTATATTTGTATACAGATGAAACAACATAGATTACAAGTAGAGTTCAAATTTTGCTCAAGACCACTTATTCTTTAAAAAGTTAAGGTTGCTGGTGGGGTTATGAATGATGCATGATGCTTAATATGATTTTATTTTTGACATTATATTCAATTGAGAGGTCATCAGTTTGCGTATCAAATTAAAGCTAATTATATAATGCATCGCATTTTAAGCCTTAATTCATAAGAACCAGTCTTCAAAAATTGTCATGCGCATGCTCCGCTTTACAGTACACTTAACTTAAATCGATGTGAACAAATCGGTACAATAAAAGATCGGAAAATGTCATTTACGTTACTTGACACTGCAAGCAATGGTTCATTCCGTTTTTAATCTTTTAAACTGTATAAATCGATTATTGTTTTCTGAATAGCGTTTTACTATTTTCATGTTCTGAAAAAAGGAAATACAGTGTCACCATGCACTATTATTAGACCGAGTGAACCGTGTACCGAAATTTTGAGGCTCCTTTAACTTTTGAACAGGTATGACTAAATTACACAACGGTGATTTTTTTTGCGCAAATGTCACAACTTTTTCTCAAAGTTTGATTTTCTTTAAATATTGTGATTGGAGGCATGCAGCTGTATATACTTATGATATACATGTATACATTTTTTATGTAAGTCTGGGACTTAAAATTGTTTGATTAACATACTATGTACCCTCTTAGGAAAATCTCTGTTGCAGAGGAAATGTTTCCATATAATCAAAAATTTGATTATTGGATTTTACAAGAAACTTTCATTTTGATACTACTTTTCATATACATGTATATCATTTATTTTAAATTGAGTTTTATAGCATAAAATAAATTGTTCGCTTTGTAGAAAAAATATCCCTGATGCGCGAAGAAAAGGCATATTATCTTTCAAAACATTAAAAAATGAGTGTAAAACAAACTTTTATTATGATACTGTATTATATATATATATAATAATAAGTTCTATATTGTTAAATAATTGTAATTTATAAGCATTCATTGTGCCTTTTATGCAAAAAAATATCAAAATATTTTTCTTATTAAACAAATCTTCCACAGCTGCAAAAAGACCTCTCGCATGCTCGTTTTTAAAGAAGTAAACTTGTTAAATTTCGTATGTAAGATCCATTGTGTTGTTTGCTATACATGTATTTGTTTTCCTCACTGTATCTGAATAGTTTCAACACTCTATGATCATGCTGCTATGTAGAATCAATAAAAGTGTTTGCGTGAGTCTGAATTGGGTCCAACATGTTTAATAGGAAGTGAAGGATCAAGACGTTTACTAGAGAGGATTACAGGAATATCATCCTAAATGAGAGGTAAAAACACAAGGTTTAGTAATTAAAGTAGTTTTATCATTATTTTACTATTAAGATGCAAGTTGTCGTGCGTGCGTGTGAGCGCGCGTGTGTGTGAGCGTGTTTTTTCTTTTTTCTTTTTTGTTGCTTTGTTTAATAAGTTCATAGCTTTTTTTTTCTCTCTATTTTTTTTTGGAGGAGGAGGGGTACTTTTAGTTTATGTATGTTTATTTTTTTTAAATTTATTGAACATGGTCCAGTATATATAACCTTCAAATATTGAAAGCTAATGTAAGAAATGTGTTTTTTTCCAACTCTTTAATATGACGTTCTGTAAAAGTGCCATTTGTAAAAGTGATTATTGATAACACGGGATAACTTATGGATTACTTAATTATAATTAACTTATACTAAGGTTTGCGCATTTTAGATATAAAGTCATATATAGTCATCAAATATTCGTATTTTTTCCGAAATAGATTCTAACGTGCGAGTGTTGTAACTTGTTGGGTACTTTTAATATTTTGTAGAGTCGTGTGTTACTAGATTATCGCTGGATTTGTTTATATTTCGTCCATCGTTTCACTTTTGTGTTTTCATAACATTTTTCAAGACAATTTTTTTTATTGCGTGAAATAAAATATACTTTGTTTTTATGTTTGATTCAAAGTATTCACACAATTTTAACCACTATTTTTATTTTCTCTATGATAATTTATAGCAAATTCAGCGTTTATTCTTAAAATTTCTATTATTATTGGTCATGAAGGACTATGCGATTCTGAGAACACAAATATGTGTGGCAGTAACTGAGATAGAGAACTAAAACATCAAAACAATTTGAAAACTGATAAAGATTAAGAGTAATATTACGGAAGCCTTATAGGGTCATCATGTCTCAAGAGTTTTAAATTATGACTTTTGTCTTAATTTTCATTGTGAAGGCATTTATTTTAATCTGAAAATAAGTTCAACAATCACAAGAATAAAATGTAGATGCATCGTAAACTATGCATATGTGACGAACACATGAAAATACGAAGACGAGAAGAGGGAACGCGTATATACGATGATCAAGCTGCGAAAAATAATTTCAAGTCGACAATTATCGCGTTTCGGTCATCGTGTCTTCGCATCTTCATCATCCTACTTTTTTCGCGGTATCGTTCTTTCGCGTTTTCGTCTTCTGACTTTTGTGTTTTCGTATTCGGTACGCATGTGTGCACGCATGCAGCAGATTTGTTTAACAAATGAATTTATTTGCGATGGCACTAACGGAACACCGTACGAAAAAAATGTAACTCGTGACAATGCTCTTAAGACCATCACTTTTTGCATTCTTTTATGGCATATTGTTATAAACAATTAATCATTTTTGACATAAATAATGACATTCACAATTGATTTTTTTTCATTGGCAACCACTAGACGTGAGCCCTGTGGGATTTTATAAGCTAGTAAATATATGTTTTCATTCGGAAATAGCAACCACAAATATTACGTAGATCTTTTTATTTTACACGTTCGCGTTGAACCGCATTTATCTTTTTTAGTTTGTAGTTTAAAACACCACATTGTTGATACTTGCTTACTTATCTAGCAAGATTAGAAAGCGAACCAACGAAAGTAAATGTTGCTTAAGGAATTCATTAATTTCACAATTAGTAAATGTGTTGTTGTCGATATTCAATTATAGCAAATATAAGGATCATATTAAGTATAAAATATCTATTTACTAAAGAAACAAACAAACAAATGAAAATGAAAACAGGAAAAATTAAACCCATTGCATTAAATTTACATGAATATTGTGTATGCTATTGTGAAATGACGAGTCGTGTCTTATTTTACGTATATGTACTTACATCGTTGTTATATGATACAGTTCTTCATCATTTTTGAGACAAATGGAATATTGAGGTTTATTTATAAATATAATAGCGAGTTTATCTGAATAATTCCAACAATATGATATCATACACCGGCGTGTAAATCAATAACAACTGTTCTTTGAGAGTCTTCTCTGATTTGAAATTATTTCATTCTTAGACAGAGTCAAAAGTGAGAGTGAAAGGAATATTAAATTAGTGTTTAGCTTTATTTGTCATCCAATGAAAACGTTGTATTTCTTAAAAATTATGTGTGTTAATTTTATTAGTGCCAAACATCATTTGCCGACCAAATGAAATCGTTCAATTAAAAAATCCCTTCTTAATCGTATAGTCGGGGCCATTCGGTAATATGTGGTTTCCATATTCAAAGCGCGGCGCAATTGAACAGCCAATTTTGAATGTGTCAAAATGGCGTAAAACGGCGACAATTTTGATGTTTATTTCGCCTGTTGCGTTGTTTATATTGATGTTGGAGTTTAAATTTGACCATTATCGTGGAGCATAATATCTTCTGTGTCGATGGACAAAATGATTATATGAAAATATGAGACTTGGAATAAAATGCATGGTGATTTTGAGGGTAGGTGTGCTGATTTCTCCGGCGAACATTTAATCTACAGACCTGGGGTGAGTAACCCGAAGCTTTCGTTAAAATCCCGCTAACGTTAGCGATCGCGTAACGAACACGTTAGTGATTTTACCGATTGTTTTTGTTGCATAACCAGAAAGCATCGTTATGTTATCGCTAATCAGTCGTTAGTAAAATTCATTAACGAAATCGTTGTGTAATCGTTAAGGGTATACACAGCATTTTGGCACCACCTGTTATTAGCTTTTCCTGCATAGATTACATTGCACGTACAAATAATTGTTTTTAAACTGTTTATAATTTGTTTAAAAAAATTTTGTGCAAATGTGCAGCCATATATATCTGTGAACACAGCTGCTTGAAAGAAACAATATGTATGTATGTATGTATGTATGTATGTATGTATGTATGTATGTATGTATGTATGTATGTATGTATGCATGTATGTATGTATGCCATACGTTCGCCGTAAAACGAATCTAAAGAAAGCAATTCTAAGTCTTCGGATATACAATACAGAACAGAACATTATTTTATTTTGACATGTACATAGTACATAATCATACTAAATGTGATGATACATTGATAGAAATGCATCAACAATACAATTTCAATACTAATTTTCAATGATTTTTAAAATAAACTTTGAAGATAATGTCACGTTACATTTTAATGGCGTTATATATAGTACGAGCTTCAGTAATTATACTAGAACGTTATTTCAAATCAACCAAAATTGATATTATAGTGTTGAGGATAAACTGTTTTAAACGTAATTAAATATGCATTTTTATATAACAGATTTATCATCAGAAAAATTCTACAAGTTACATAAAAATGTTAAATGGAATTTGTATGTTCATTAATAATGACATATATATTCATTAATCAAATTTATCAATACAATACAATACAATACAAAACAATACAATAGCGTTTATTTGCTTTAAACATTAAACAACGTTTCTAGCAAAAACTATAGACAAGAAATACTGTTACATGAACATAATTACAACTGAACATTTTGGATTTGTAACAAAAAACAAAAGGAGAGACTAGATATAAGTTCATTGCCTCATCTTTAAGATGTAGAATATTTCGGTATGTGTGTGATGAAATAGAGTAGTACACTATATAAGAGTAAATGTTAAAGTGCAAAGTAAATAGAAATCAATAAAATTTGGATACTTTTTGAGATAAATATACAGTGAATTATCTCCTTGATGAAATGCTACATATATAAATATATCTTGATTTGATATTTCTTTGTGATGAAAAATAAATAAAGATTTATAAACAATTTAAGAGAAAATGTTAATCATCTTTCCTTTTAAAGGCAAAGTATACATTTTTTAATAAATGTGAATCATTTTTTAAAAATAAGGTAATAAAATAGTTTCAAACTTTATTATTGTTGGCCAATGGCAATAATATCTTCGCTAATATCTTAATCGATGCTTTTAAAAATATTGACGCTAAATAGCAACGTGATTTTTGTTTTGATTTAAATGATGCAAATGAAGAAATGAACTGCTTTTCTGTAAAACTTTCTTTACATAACCTTTGTTACACACTGGTGAAAATATTTAATAAACCTTCGTATGTTGCTAGCTTGAAAATTACATGGGAAACAAAGCAAGTTTCGATTAATAAACTCTACTTTTCATGAAAATAGAGGTTAACCATTAATTTAAAATATTTGAAAGATATATAATGTTTTTTTTTTTTAATATAAACCGCTGAATTTCATATATAACCAAACACGTCAAAATATATCCATATACTGTGTTACACTCTTTCATTGTACATGAATGTCTTTATGCTGAATTCTTTAATTTCACTTTGTATATAGAACTAGTATAACTTCTAAGTCTTTTAAGTATTAAAAAATTGAAACTTTAATGTAATATTATATCTATTTAATTTCATACATGAAAAAAATGTGATGTATTGCTAAACGTGCAATACAAGTAGTGTTAGCTTGTTTTGAGATAAATAAGAAAGAATACTATTACATAAGATAACTAAGGCGATTAACAGGTCACTTTGTATTCTCTATGTCAGTTGATGAAATTAATCAACCTCCTTAGAAGCATTCAAACATATAAGTGTCCAAAGTCTATCAGTTATCTAAATACTCTAGCAGCATGGCGGCCATTGTCTGCGGAATGAAAAAACAACATCACTTGTATAAAGATATTTGGAATTATTCTTAAAATCATTTACGAAAGAAATGCTCACTTAAGTTTAATGAGTACGGTTACGTTTTATTTTGAAAATGAATGCAGTCATAATAATAATAATAATAATAATAATAATAATAATAATAATAATAATAAATAATAATAATAATAATAATAATAATAATTATGATAGTAATAATGATAATAATGATAATAATAATGATAAATAAATAAATAAATAATAACTTTACATATTAAGACATTTACAGATTGTAACATCATATCAAGGACTTATTATCAAGAAAATAGGAAGAAAATACGTGATATAAATAATACATACTCATAAAAAGTTTGTTG